GGGGCCCCCCCCCCCCCCCCCAGCTCGGTGATTGGTACCTCCTGGGTCTGGGGGCGGGGCACCCATGGTCCCTTGCAGCCAATTGCTAAGCCAAGGGGGCATAGGCAGGGGGGCCCGGTGTGCTCCCTGGCAGACTTGGAAGTGGACCAAAAGTGCTTCCAAGCCACTTCTGAGTTCACTGCCGAGCATGTGGGGGGGGGGGGGGGGAGCCATGCACCTGTGGGACCCTCCATCCACCCCAGCATCGCAGCATTCACAAGCCGTGGCTGGTACCTCAAGGTATGTAAAATAAAAACGTTAAACGCTGTGTCTATGTCCGAATCAGCATCGAATCTTCAGATTTGGATTCGGCCAAATCGAATCAGGGACAGTGATCTGAATCAACGAATCAAATCTCTGTCACCAATTCTGGCCAAATCCGAATTGAATACAGCCCATTTCACACACCCCTAGTATCTAGCAGAAAAGATGGAAGAAGCCAGATAAATTTTGACACTGGCTTTCTTGGATATTTCAGAAAGTCCAACCCTTTGCTAACTTTTAATTGGATAAATAATCTCAGTTTCCGTTTGTCAAAAGTGAAATTAAATGCTGAAATAAAAAGGAAATGCAATTCATGAGCCTCATTGTTATTGTTTTGGGAGATATTTTTGGAAGAAAAATTAGTAGAAGATGTTCTGAGGTGCCAGGCGCTAGCCTGGTGACTATGCTTGATAGGCCTACAAAACTAAATTACAAACTTTGTTAATATGCTTGAATGATGATACAGTGATCACGATCTAAGCCTAAGATTTCTATCATATTGAAAGCCTTGTGTCTGGTGAAGGGTATAGAAGTATTTTGAGCCACATATACATAAAGAAGCATAATTAGTTCTATTCGGCTGTTAATCAGACATGCATTTGGTGTTTAGAAAACAAATTACTGCTGTTCCACACTAGGTGATGCAAGATTTCCTTAGAGAGTGCTGTTCTCATGATCTTTAATACAAAAGCGGTGGGCAATCAAAATACTGGCTGTATTACAAGCCTGTGAAACTATTGCAGATGCTTCATAATTTGGGCTGGTTTTCACTTATGAAATAGATGTCAACAGACTTAGACATCTGAATGCCAATGAAGGCTATAAATTGGATGGTTGAAGAGTTAAATGAGGGATCAGAGCAAACCTGCTTTACATAAGTTTTGCCACATCATTTTAATGGTAAACTATTTAACTGACCCAAACCAGATTCCCATGTGCCTCGTAGTAGCCGTCATTTTAGAAATGCTACTGCTCTTATCTTCAAGGCAGGCTCACATATTTTTAATAGGCCATGGCTTGAATTACTAATGTTTTCATCAGCCGGTGTAAAATAAATCCATTAGTCACAGTGTCCTTCATGTGATAATGATGTTTAGAGCTCATTAAAAAGTAATTGTAACCACTTTTCCCTACTTTATCAGCAGGATTCAGCTGGTGATTTGATGATCAGAAGCATCCAGCTGAAGCATGCTGGGAAGTATGTCTGCACGGTGCAAACAAGTGTGGACAAGCTATCGGCTGCTGCAGACCTGATTGTAAGAGGTATTTGAATTTTGTTGCTGCTGCTGTTGTAAAATTATTTGTTGTGCTACCTGCTGCTATTCGTAAGACAATGCGTGGGCTCAGAGCGAATCCCAGTGTCTCAGTAATTACTGTAAGAAATGAGCTCTGAGAGGTACTACACAGTACCTTCCCAAAGAGTACATGGAAATAAACTTTACACACACACGCATATACACAGTATATGTATGTGTGTGCATGTGTGTGCACACACGTGCATGTACATATATATGTCTGTGTGTAAATATACATGCACACTCACACACACACACACACACACACACATATACATGCATATATATATATATATATATACACACACACACACAAGCATATATAGATATATATAGATATAGATACCTTCTTTTGGGGGATAACGTGCGTGCATATATAGATAAGGTTCTTTGGGTAAATGTGAGATCTTTCATTGGGCCAACTAAATAGTTGGAAAATTTGTTCTTTGCAAGCTTTTGGGCACAAGCACCCTTCCTGAGGCATAGGGAGAGTCTGTCTATCCCAGATTCAGTATAATTTAGTAAAACCACAACTGTGGTAAAGTTCAAAATTAAAATCCTACTGCATTGTATGTAGGTGATCTGTTAATATGACCTTTCATTTAAATGCTTTATTTTTTTCCCCTTTCTGGATAGCGAGCATGAGTATTGCCTGGAGTCAGTGTTCTGGGGACTTGTGAAAATTTAAGAGTTTCAGCTAAACCGGAGGAGGGTCACTAAGGAAGGTCTTAATCACACAAGATACTGAGCACCTACAGTTCCCACTGATCTGAGCAGCTACTGATGGTGCTTGTTACTTCCCAGGAATAGATCCCATGTCCCAAAAGCTACATCCGCAACCTACATCGGTTACTTGCTTGGTTAAATAGTGTCAGAAAAGAAGTCCTAGATGGAATCATAATCGGAGACCAACAGGATTCTTCTTCTCTGCAAACTTGTTCAGCCAGGTTGGCTTTATGCAGTTTGAAGAGAAGCTTGCATTATGATCATCAAAGGGAAGTGCTTAGCATTCATTGCTACCTGCGTGCAATGAACATCTTGCTTGGGGAATTGTAATGTTCACCCCTTTAAGAATGGGAAAGTTGAAATTCTTAGCAAATGCAATATAGAGGCAACCGCAGAGTTTCTCAGTCTGTTCTTTGTGAGTTAAATGATACTGTTGCTGCTATGAATGTATCCTCCATGTAACGAGGATGATGCCCAGATCAGCCGTTAAGGATCTATAAATTAGACTACCAAATTAGTAGTAATTGAAGCTCTTAAGGGATATGGTACCCTTCCTTTTACGGGCAATACCGTTAAAGAGACCCAGAAATTTGTAAGCACCATACTTAAAAGAACATAATTTAAGGAACCAAGCAACACAATAATTTAGCTCTTACATTCCTAAATTCTGAATTTCTCTATAGTAAAATGCTGAGCTTTTGGAAGCATTTCGCTCCACCTGTCGGAAGGGCGATCATAATATTCATAGTTTCTCCTCATGAAACCAGAGGCACATGCTGATGGCAGGTGTTGGTGGAATGGCATGTGCCAGCTCATTGAATCATTATCTGCAAGGGCATGTGTGAAGTTAAAACTCATTAATTGCAATAACTGATATTCCCCATCTAATAGATAAAGCTGCTGTGCACAGCCCCAGGGACCTGAAGTATTCCCATTCCATCGCTGTTTTGTATTTTTTGTCAGTGCATCATTTCAGATAAACAGCTTTCTACAAACATTTCAAAACCGTCTACTGATGAGAGCTGGTTAGGTAACTTCCTGAGGACCAGCTCTGAAAACAAGAACATGATTCTCACAGCAAAACAACCACAGCAATAGTAGAGAGAGTCACATTTTTATTCCCCACAAAAGCACCGGTTTCAGACATTTCCCTACAGGTCTGTTGTCCTGTGACTTCTCTGTTTGCTTTTGTTGGTCCTGCTCCCTGTGCTCTGAAGAAATGCCATTTTTTCTTTGCTAACTACAGTGGTCGTACAAAAATAAATCATTTGAAAAGCCTGGGGGAAAGAAAATACGGAGCTGTGACACATGGGAACTTTTGTGTAAGAGCGGCAGAAGAAGAAACAGAGTCATTGATTTATTGATAAGGATTTATTTATGCCACACAGGAAGATAAAAATGTTGTAAATGGGATCATTTTGCCTGAAATTTAAGCCACAGCCTGAAACCCTTTATCTAACCTAAGAGCAGTATGAAGCCAAATATTTGCTCTTTTTTTTCCCATTTTTGCATTTCTGTTTATTTTAAGATAGCACCTCTGTGCATATCACTGAATTAGCCTAACAATATTACTTTTTATGCTTCTAATAAGTGTGCATTTTTGCATTTGGAAGAATAATGATCAAAACTGTGAGGCAGTCAATCCACTAAGTAGTTGCCAAGTAGCTTGTGAAGGATAAATTGAAATGTCCCATCTGAAATGTAACCCTATTGTCCAGCCAGCGATGGAGAATTGAACAAGCTAACTGTTTAATAAGGTTGTATTATGTGATCATTTTCCCCCTGGCATTTTCCCCTGATAAATTAGATGTGACTAGACCTGACGGAGCTCCCGTTTAAACTCAGAATATTGGAAGGTTTTAGGATGCTAATGATACATGAAAATCTACAACTCGCCAGAGGGCTAAGGGTGGCAAAGTGAATTCTGAAGGGCAGGGAAGAGGTAGTCTTTCCTCTTCTTTCCACATGCCTCTACCAGTGATAGCTATGGCCACATAAGTATGATAAGGGGCAGAGAGAAATATATCCTCTAAGTGATATAGATCTTTATAAATCAAAGCCAGTTCTTTAAATCCAGGATCCTATAGCCATCTAGTGGAAAATACCAGTGCTGTGTGCCCCATGCAGGATACTGCACTTATAATAACCAAGCTGCGTCATCTTTGGGTCTCTGAATGGATTACACCTTGCCGTTCTTCTGGTTTTGTAATGCATCTGAAATAAATGATCTCATTCCCCTTACTAAGTACGTAAGTCCGTTTAATAAGGTGAGTATAGAGGGGAATGTGATGAGCGCTCTAAGTTGCACGCTTACATAAGAAACAATGGGCACATCTACACGGGGCTTCTACTATGGAGCCGACTAATTAGCTCCACAGTGAAACGCCACTGTCTGCACGTCTGATGCTATTAGGCCAGAGTAAACTAATTAACTTCTCCATAGGATAATACTGCTAGACACAAGTACTGGCCTACAGCAGAGTTATTTACTCTTCTGCAATGCATGTGTAGGTACTGATAGGGCTGACTGCGGCACAAGGGTGCTACAGTGGAGGGGCTGCTTGCCTCCCGGCTAGCCCCACACTGAAACACCAGCATGTCCCAGCCAGCCCCTCTGCATCATGTTGAGCTGGGTTGGAGCAGCCCTGCGCTGGCAGGCTGACCCTCCGGACCCTCTGCCAGCTGGGGCTGCTCTGCCCCAGCTCAACTTGTGGCAGTACACGTGCAAATGTTGCTCCTGGGAGCAATAAACTACAGCACAAACTGCATTGGAGTTTATTGCTGTGCCTTAACTGCACATGTAGATGTGCCCAGTGGGAACATAGTTGGGCTTGGAAACACTGGGATCCTGCCACTGTCTTTAATAGACCGATTGAAGCCTGCAATCTATGCAGTATCATCCATTTTTCACAAACATGCCTATCTCACCCAGTCAATAAAATGTCACTAAATTGCAGTTCTGGCTGATTTTTTTTCTCCTTATCCCTAGATCCCAAGTGAAGCGGAGGACATTTCTTTCCTAATATATGCAACATTACATGATGATGTGTGTTTTGAACTGTATGTATATCTATTTTCCTATAGGTCCACCAGGCCCACCTGAAGCTGTGACAATAGATGAAATCACTGACACCACAGCTCAATTGTCCTGGAGGCCAGGAGCAGATAATCACAGCCCCATTACTATGTATGTCATTCAAGCAAGAACCCCGTTTTCTGTGGGGTGGCAGGCAGTGAGCACAGGTAAACGCAGCACTCAGTAGCAATGGAAGTAGGTTATGCTATGAAAGTATTCTTTTGCCATAAAGCCTGATCAGTCAGTAGAAGTGTAAAGTACGGCTAAAGTTAACCATGCAGCCAGAAGCCAAGGGGTCACTTTAGTGGCCCCAGTAAACATACACAGTTCTTCTAAACTTGTTTCAAGATTTGCCGAGCAAAAGAATTCAAGTGCTGTCAGTGGTATAACTCAGTTTTTCTCATGAATTTTTATGTTCTGTATTTTTACAAGAAGAATTTGTTCTCTCCTTTCAGTTATTACTTGCTGCTATGTTGGGGATATACAACAATATTCTGCAAAGGCATGCTTCAAAGATGGGCAGTATTATCTAACATGCCTTCTCTTTAGGTGGAATTGTTTTCCCAGCAGAGGAAATGCAAATACCACTGTATAATTGTTCATGCTTTCAGATGTTAATTTGATTCTTCTAACTATTGAGTGAGGCACAGTTTATAAGCCAGAAAGTATCTTGAATGTCAAATGATAACGCCTCTGCTATATACTTAAGTTACTTTTTTAAGCACTTTGGTATAGTGCAACTGATATAGTCCACACTGCCCCTAGTGTTGATGCACTAACACCAGTATAGATGTGCTTTTAACGGTACAGCTATTCCAACATGGGAAGGTAAATGTGCCATACTAGTATAAGGTATCTTCATACCAATATAATAGCATCCTTCTTTTGCACCAATACACCTATATCTATATGAGTACAAATAAATCATGCAGGTAGCCAAACTAGTTATATAATAGTGTCTAGTTCTTCTTTCTTCTTCATTTGAGTCCAGAAAGTACTTTACAAGATGGGACAGGATCACTACTGCTGGGGAGGACGAGGTGGGGGACCTGACATTCAAACCTCATCTAGCATGCTAGTGGCCAAGCCACGAACAGAGCCCATGTCCCCGGAGTCCCAGGCCGGTGCTCCATTCTTTGTATAGCACTATAGAAAATGTGTAATTCATTATGTTTGAAAGAGGCATGAGCAGGGTGCAAGCAGGGAGGATGTAAAGTTTTGTTCTGTTTCATTTTGTTTTAACTGTAGCTTTTCTTGCTGTAGGCACATTACTTGTGTGCACGCTTTCTCACTTTCCCAAGAGCTGACAAAATCTACAAATAAGAAAGGAAGTGGATGGCTGAGTTATGCTGTTCTCACTCACTGCATTCAAGCTAATCCCCCTTGTTTTAAAGGCTTTGAGATGCAGCTTGTTGCTCAAGTGATCACTGCTATTAAATGCCTGAATCTAATTGTTTCTAATGGCTAAAACCCCTCTCCTGACCTGCCGGCGTCTTTTAGTTCCAGAGATCATTGATGGGCGAACCTTCACCGCAACGGTGGTGGGCTTAAACCCTTGGGTTGAGTATGAATTCAGAGTGGTGGCAGCCAATCTTATTGGGATTGGGGAACCAAGCAGACCGTCAGAGAAGAGAAGAACGGAAGAGGCTCGTAAGTAGCTGCAGGGAAACCCCTGAAAGTCTTGACAAAATAGTACTTTTTCAGAAGCCTTAAACTCTCTAGGATGAGGGTGAGACATCCTTAATTTTCCTTCTGTCCCTGGCATGGCATTCACAAGCTGCACGCATAAATAGAAACGATAGCACTAATAAAACAAATGAGAAATGAGAGGGGATTTGTTTATCAGACTTTACGAGTGAAGGATGATTAGACAAACTTCCCCGTTCTCATGTCCTGCGTAGCCTTTATAGCGGGGCATTTAAAGGCAGGGGTCAGTTCGGCTTCCGCTAAGGAGATGGTACAATGGATCAGAGGTGTGGATCAGGATAGTAGTTCCTGCGCTGACTCTGTGTAGGGGGTTGAGATCTCTTCCAAACCCTATAATTCTGTGATTCAACCACAACTCTCAGGAGTGTCGGGTATGCTCTGTTTATATAAACCTAAAGACAAGAGAAGCTATTCTGATTTATTGTTATAATCAGCTATCATTATAGAGCAGCTTTTGCACTCCCTTGGTCCAGGTCTGTTTTATGGCTTTCAGCAAAATGTAGATGGCTGGGGAGCTGGGCTGCAGCAGTGCCTGGGATCTCAAGCAGTGAGGGCTGTGGTTGCACCCTTGGTCTGTCCCTACCCTCCAGCACCAGTGCAGTACATCTCTTACACCAAGACTTGTGAGGGGGGCTTTGAAGACAGCTTTGTGGATCCCTAAAATCCCTGCATTTTTGAGTCTCTTACAGCTTCTTTTGTCCTTTGATCCAAGCATAAAGTGGTCAGAGCAGGTGGGCAGGATCCTCATCCAGATGCTTATTGCTTTAGCTACATGTTAAATCTTATAGTTCTTGCTTTGTCTTGATTCACACAAAAATGACTGTGAGATTTGGCCCTAAATTAGATTTGCTCTGGTTTTGAAAGTGAATCAAATGGGTTCTTTGAACTGCAAAATAATCATTTGTGTTTCCAGTAATAACCTACTCTCGCTTTTTTTTTTTCCTCCTGCAGTTCCTGAAGTCACCCCAGCTAATGTCAGTGGAGGTGGAGGGAGCAAGTCAGAGCTGGTCATTACATGGGAGGTAAATGAGGCTTAAATATTCCTCTGCCTTATAGTACACAGCCACTTACCTGGTTCTGATCGACACTGGTTTTATCCCAGTGTATTTTCACAGACTCTGGTGGAGTTACTCTTGACTTTTATCTCTCTATAAAAGAACAACACTCAGTCATCCAGTTTAGCCAGATAAATACAGTCCCTTCTTTCAGGACCCCTCCCAGACCCAACAGAGACCCATCTGTGCAAGGGATGGAGCTGCCAGTGAATGAGCTAGGTAGGGCACGTGAGCTCAGCTCTGCACATAAGAGTAGAGGTGGCAAGCCGTGCTTGGGCTGGAAGAGGGGAGTGGGTTTGGGGAATGGATCCTCCCAGTTAAGGACCTGTAAGGCCTGCACAGCCGGACTCCTGCTCCTCGGTACATCTCCTATTCAGGTGAGCCTGGTGTAAAAATTATCTTGCCGAGAGGCGCCAACTTCCTCTGGAGCTGTGCACCATTGTTACAAGGACTTCAGCCCTTGCGCTTTAGGCTTCACCTCTACAAACCCTTGGCTATCCAAACTGCCAATGGCAGACAATAGCTGGCACTGCCAACCTGCTAGAGTACGTACCTAGGCACTGTGGGCCTCCTAGCACAGCTTCACTCAGCAACTTGCCATAGGGCCCAAGGCGTATGCTGAGAAAGCACCACCATCGGAAGGGATCGTGTCAGCCATAAAGGTGCAGGAGGGTCTACATGTGCTTTCTGCTGGGTACTGGGTGGTGGCAGAAACCTTACTCTGCTCAGCAGAGGCAAAGTAACTCTGCTGGCAGCTGAGAGGGTCCTGCCGCCACAGAAGAACTTGGGCTATGAACAACACACCAAGGTTTTCTGACAAAACTGGAGAAATGTTGGCAAAACTATAGTGTAGACTAAGCATTAGCTTTGTGAAATAACAGCAAGCGATTTGGAGATATATAATGGTGCAGCACGTCAAGTGCTAACGCAAGCTTTATTTCAGTCAATCACAAAGGCAGCAGAAGATGATAACGCAGATGAAAAATGCTTAATATTCTTGAAGGTTGAGTGTTAGCCGCTTTGTTGGCACTTACTTTCATATGGCAGGGAAAGGTATTTGAGGTTCAAGTCTTTTCCTTGTCATTAGCTCCATTAGATTTCATGCAGCCCACATCTAGTACTACTTCTGAGCACCCTGACAGACGTGAGTATTTTTTAAGGTCATTAGAAACCTTGCTACACAGCTCGGCATGTGGAATTTCACCCTCCCTTGGACTAATTAGTTCCACCGCGTCTCTTACAGAGTCTCAAAGACGTCTTAAAAACGTGTCTTAGAGAAATGTCAGGAACGTCAGGCATGACTTTGAACCTTTTGAATCATTTGCAAGAACCTTAATTTAGGTTCCACCAAAATGATCAAAATTGTAATATTTTTCTAGAATTATTTTTAAATCCATCAAAGATTGAGTAGAAAGCACTCATAGAATGTCATTTTTCTTTGGCCCCAATTTACACATTGGACATGCTTAAGTCCCATTTACTTTGGTGGGATTTAAGCACGTAATTAAGTGCTGTCCTGCATCAGGTTACTGAATTGGGGCATTTATTTCTCATACTCCTTTTCCAATTAAAATATAAGACTAGGTAATTGCGGCCTGAACAAAAGTGACCTGAAGGTGACACCACTTCTCCTAGACATGACATATCATTTGCCTGCCATTCTCCATCACATTTATGACAAGTCACTCACTGGCATCTTACATTTTTTTAATATGGCTCATGTTATACAAGATCTGAATGCTAAATACATGTGGTTTTTGTCAGCTTGTATAAGCAACGGAGCAACCTGTTGAGACAGCTGTGCAGGCAAGGTTGGGAGTTGCCCTGCAGATCTCATTTACTTGGGATATGCAAAAGTGATAGGTGCTGTAGAAAAGTCTAATGTGGGTAGGCAGTTGTATGTCAAGCAAAAACATGGCTCAGAATATTTTATACGGGGACTCGCATAGGACTAAAGAGAACGAGGAGCTGCTTTGCATATCTTAAGTCAGTAGACACTCTGGCTAATTATTAGCTGTTTGTGCTGAGCTACCGTTGTTTTCTGTTTTGGATATGCCCTTTAAGATGGAGGTAGTTTCAAGACAACAGTCAAACAATGGAAAGCATGCAGGAAATCAGTCTGTGCTATAGCTGCGACTGCTGATTTTGCTGTGATCTGCCTTACAGACAGTGCCTGAAGAACTACAGAACGGAGGTGGCTTTGGTTATGTGGTGGCCTTCAGACCGTTTGGCACAGTGAGCTGGATGCAGACTGTCGTAGCTTCTCCCGATGCCTCTAGATACGTGTTTCGAAATGAGAGCCTGCCCCCGTTCTCTCGCTATGAGGTGAAAGTGGGAGTGTACAACAATAAAGGAGAAGGCTCTTTCAGTCCCGTCACAGTTGTATATTCTGCCGAAGAAGGTACAGCATTTTCTTCCTTTGTACTGTCCTGAACTGTGATTTGTGAGACTTGCTAACTGTTTTTGAAAGGGTTTAGTATCCACTTTGACACATCCTTTGGTATTTAATCCTTGCTGTGATTCATAATAAATGGCAAGTCACGACTAATTCTTTTGATAGTCATTAACGTTAATCATAATGAAATCTTTTGATATTAATGGGGATGTAATATGCAATCTCAAAATAATTCAGCTGAGATTTAGTATGAATTAAAGTCCACTGATTAGAAAATGTTCCCCCTTGTCTCAGTTACAATACACGGTGCCCTAGGTAAGTTTAGCAATGACATCTTATTATTTCTTACACGGTGAGATGAAGTCTTACACAGGGCTGGAAACAAAAATTTTGGTGGCGTGACTCTATCCTCTTGTAGTGAGGAAGAAACCTGAAGCTGGTAACTCAGCTGAGCACAGAGCTAACCTACAGGTATATCTTTTTCCCCATTTGTGCATTTAGAGCCCAACAGAGCTCCGACCAGTGTCTTTGCCAGAAGTCTCTCTGCTTCAGACATTGAAGTTTCCTGGGCTCCTCCACATGAGAATCAGAGTAAAGGAAGGATCCAGGGTTATGAGGTATGAAATGCAGCTCCAGGCTGGAATAGGTCCAGCGCCAATCATCGATGATGTCTGTTCACGGGGAGTTCTCTAAACAAGACCTGTCACGCTGCCTTTGCAGCATAACGATGAACCAACTCAATTCTTGCTTTCTGATTGTTTGGGATTCTGGTGTTAAGGTACCAGGTTAGACCGCAGTCCTCCAAGAAGGAGCCTGCCCTCCCTGAAGACTTGTGGAGAGCACAAGATCCTGCAGTCAGGGTTGTTAAGTGAAAAACCGAGGTCTCTACATTGTTTTGTTTTCTCCTGTTGCAGCAATAAAAAAAATACTGACCTCTGAGTTTATGGACAGAAGTCAGCATTTCTAATTATTGTGGTCTTTTCTAAAACGGAAAAAAAAAAGCAAGATTTACAGAGATGAGCCAAAGCATTGTCCTAATGAGGTTTTCACTTCCAGGATGGTGAATGGCCCCCTTCCATTTGACAGTAATTAAGGTCATGTTAACCAGACAGATAAACTTTACATTATTAACCTCAGGATTTCACTAACTGCAGTACCAGGGCTATAAAGAGTCAAGACATGGATAGGCTCAATTATATTAAGTAGGTAAATATTCCCAAGTGATTAGCCACTATTTGAGCTCTTGTGCTTGTTTTTGTTAGAAGAATTTGATAATAAAATCAGCTGTTTCTTTGATGCACATGTGTTTATTTCCAAAGAATGAGCACGGACTCATTTCTCTGAACATAGCAGGACTCAAATATTTTTACCCACACTTCTAAGCCCCAGTCCTTCTGGCACGCTACCCAAAAAAGCACTCTCAGCTTTTTCTCAGGGTCACGCTACAAGTCGTTCTCTAACTGTGATGCTTCTGTCTTCTCTTTGTTCCTCTGGAGTTTTCCTTATGTGTTTGTACACACACGTACACACACGTGTGCATGCGCACACGGCCCCGTCCAAGACCAGACCCAGTGCTCAGCTTCTAATGAAATCACTCATATAGCTCCAGTGTCCATATTGTCGGTTGTGTGGCTGTGTTATAAGCAGTTGCTCCTATTGTTTTAAGCCGTCCTGTTCCATGAAGAAGCCAAATGGCCTCTTCTATTTACCCTGAATTTAGGGCAGCTGTTGCACCTGCTAGCTTTAATAAGGTTAACAAAATGTAGCGAAGGAGAAAGTGGCAAGGTTTAGGGTTTGTCTATGTGACAATCATTGCGGCTCGTACTCAAGCTCACTAAGTAGACGTACTCCTGCGAAGATGAGGAACTGAAATAATTCACCTGAATATTTCATTTACTGCAGTACCATGGCCATCAGAAATTAAGACCTAGACAGGTTTGTTATGTTGTACTTAGGTGACAAGTATACCTGTTCTGTTTTCCAGGTTCGATACTGGAAGCATGATGAGAAGGAAGAAAATGCTAAAAAAGTCAGAACTATTGGTAATTGGACATCTACAAAAATTGCTAACTTGAGAGGCAGTGCATTGTATCATTTAGCTGTGAAGGCATATAACACTGCAGGGACGGGCCCATCCAGTGCCACAGTCAACGTCACTACCAAAAAGCCCCGTGAGTACCTCTTGTGACAGAGTGCAGTCTGAGGCTGGTAGACCAGCAAGTAATTCCCTTTTGAGATTTTCAAAGTCAACGGTGCCTTGACATTTTTCTTTGGCTGTGTTCTTCCTGCAGAAATTTGCGGGAGACGAGTCGGCGGAGGGGGAAGGGGACGGAAAACTTGCTTTGTTTTGCTTGTTGTATGTCTCTTCAAGCAAACGGCATGCAAAACTGAAAGTTAAATGTCGATCTGGTCATTCATAAGGGCCAGCTCTTCTGGTCACAAGCATGTCAAGCAACCAACTGGATCTGTTTTCATTCGGGGCGCTGTATTGTATCAGACATTTGCTGCCCTTGAAGATGCAGCTCAGTGCAACAGCTTGTTAACTTGCACAGGCTTCTGTGCATGCTCAGCTATGGGAGTGGAAGCCATGTAAGCACTAGGATGGATAAAGCCAAAAAACGTATTAACGTAATACCTTGTATTGCTTTAATATAGCCCCAAGTCAACCTCCTGGAAATATCATATGGAATTCATCTGACTCCAAAATTATATTGACCTGGGATCAAGTAAAAGCACTGGATAATGAATCTGAAGTGAGAGGATACAAAGTGAGTCATTTCTTAGTGTGGACATCTAAGAACGGTTATTTATATTATCTGCCCCTTGATGCCTGTAGTGTGTGGATCTCATTGGTATGATATATCTGCCCCTGTATTTACACAATGAATTTTGGGATAAGTATATAAATGAGTCGGGTTGATTTTTGTGTTTGTTACAAAGAGAAGTATGGTGGGTATCGTGTTGTTTATACCAGGGGTTTTCAACCTGTGGTCTGCAGACCCTTGGGGATCCACAGACAATGTCTAAGGGGTCCACAGAAGATGACTATGATCAATCAAAAGTAAGTGAATACCCACACTTACAATTCATAGGGGTCCGCACCTCGTTTAAAAAAAATAAGGGGTCTGCAAATGAAACAAGGTTGAAAACCACTGGTTCATAGAGTTGTCTGGTGCTAAGCAAGAATTGCTCTATGTCTTATTACACAGCCTATTATAGCTTCTGAAATGAATACAACATCAGCTTGCCTTGGGGAGTACCCAGGAGGACTATTATGGGTTAAAGTAGCTAACTGTGAGGCCTAGTAATAGGTCAGTTCAATCCCAGAGATACCCACCGTAGCCAGGGAAGATTTAGACTCCAAAGTACTTAAGCAAAGGCTATGAAACAATCCTTGCATATTTTTTTGTACATCACTGGCCTATTCTGCCATACAGGGGTTATGAGCAGTTTGTAGCATGGATTGCTCCTGCCCTTGCTGGAAACCTGCCCGTGGCTGAAATAGGCTCAGTCATTTCATATAAGTATGCAAATTTTATTTGTAAAACCAAAGCCAAGAGAAAAGGAGTGAAGTCCTCATTAGTAGCAATTTGGGTAGGAAATTCTTGAGAGAAAAATCTTGGGCAGAATTCAGCCCTGGAGTTTGTCATCTTAAACTAAAGCTTAATTTAGTCCCGTGAAAATGGAGATGGAAGGGACCTCGGGGGGTCATTCTGGTGAGGTTTTCCTGCTTGGTGCAGGGGGCTGGACTCGATGATCTTCCGAGGTCCCTTCGAGCCTTACAATCTATGAATCTAGTCCAAGCCCCACTTAAATTTGGAGAGAGTCCAGCGGAGGGCAATGAAAATGGCTAGGAGCTGGGGCACATGACTTCTGAGGAGAGGGTGAGGGACTGGGCTTATTTGGTCTGCAGAAGAGAAGACTGAGAGGGGATTTAATAGCTGCCTTCAAGTCCCTGCAGGGGGGCTGCAGAGAGGATGGAGCTGGACTGTTTTCAGTGGTGGCAAACAACAGAACAAGGAGCAATGGGCTCAAGTTGCAGCAAGGGAAGTTTAGGTTACATATTAGGAGAAACTTTCTCACTAGGAGGGTAATAAAGCACTGGAACAGGTTACCCAGAGAAGAGGTAGACTCTCCACCCTTGGAGATATTTAAGACAAAGTTTTGGCTGGGATGGTATAGTTGGGGATGATCCTGCTTTGAGCAGGGGGTTGGCAGGCCTCCTGACGTCTGTTTTCTATGATTCTGTGATCTCTGAGGAAATGTGAATCACTATTGTATGGATCGCCTCACAGTTGCCATCCCATCAACAGTTTTGGTCATATTTTCACAAATATTCAAACCCAAAGTCCAATGGTGGAAAAAATGCTTTCATAACTCTTGTGAAAGCAGACCTCGTCTAGCAGGCTCTCTGAAGTTTCTCTTTTTATTTAGCATTCCAGTTGCTCAACAACATGACAATACTGGTTGCAGAGAATAAAAGCATCTTTTAAAAAATATATATTATATCTGATGTCTTGATTTATATCCTAAATTAGTTGAATTTCCAGATCTTAGGGAAAAAAACAGAAGGTAAATCAAAGAAGCAATTTATTCCAGGGAGCTGGTTGTGACACCGCATTGAATACACCAAACTAGTTTTTTTGAAGAACAGCAATATGAAGTTTTGACATTTCTAAATAAGCCTCAGGATTTATTTTACCTTGATCATTAGTATGGAGTAAGGTGACACTGAATTTGATGTCTCAGGTGGCTAAAATTGAGGAACGATGCTTATGAAGCTTTCCAATTTAAGGAGAATAACATTCAGCGCCTTGCATTAAGAGGATATAAATTAAGGTGGCTTCATGCTGTATGAGGGGGAAATTCAAAATGGAAATCCCTTGCAGTGAAACTAATTGATTTGGAATAAGGGATATATGTACCTAGGTAGCATTTGGTATAGAAGGGTTATCTATGGTCAGAAGCCAGAGCAGAATCACTGTATTTTTTGCCTTTTGCAATAGAAGCCGTCTCCCTTCTGCCACCCCCTCCCCCAGTATCCCGGTGAATAAAGAGCACAAAAATGCCTGTTCTGACGACTGACCCATAAATTAGACTGCATTTTTGAAGTGCACAGGCCTAGCTAGAGCTGGCTGCAAGGGAAAGCTGCTGAAATCGCTCCCAGCTGATGGGAAAATGAAGTTTAATCAAGCGGAGAGGCATCGGTGCTCTGCTGATTACAAAGGCCGCTGCTGGGTGGCATGCAGCTCTCCGACACGGCTGCATATCAGAGTACCAACAAGCGCAGCCTTCTTCTGAAAGCTTGCACCGCGGGCAGCCGGCACTGCTCAGTGGCTTCCCGGCATCACAAAGGGAAGTGTTTACCAAGGTAGCTTCCCGGTGGCCCCGCACATCAGGTTCAGAGCAGTATTTCTGTGGGATATTGCACAGCTGATGCGATTAGGGACTATTCAGTAGAACCCAAGGGAAAAAAATAAACCGGAACGGTAAATCTTCCGCCTGTTGGGGAGATCACCCTTTTAATTGTTTCCACTTCCCCCGCGTGCTGCAGGTTTTATACAGATGGAACAGACAAAGCAGTACGTCTGTAATAGAAACGAATAAAACATCTGTGGAGCTTTCTTTGCCTTTTGATGAAGATTACATCATAGAAATAAAGCCATTTAGTGACGGAGGGGATGGCAGCAGCAGTGAACAAATCCGAATTCCAAAGATAACAAGTAAGGATGTTGTCCGGTTTCGTGCTTGGGCCCATGGTTTTGTTGGAGGAGGGGGGGGCATTGAGACCATGAAGTGCAGTGCACAGTATATTGAGCAGTGTTTCTGTTGGCTTCCTGTTTCTTGCACACTCAATAGCACACTTTGCATGAACAAAATGGCAATTTGCAACCATAAAGGACCGTTTTATACACGCAAACTGAAGCAGTCAAGCAAAATAGAGGCAGGCAACTGATGCAACCAGCACCGTATATTGGCAGCTGTCTCTGCAGAGTGACAATAAACCAGATAGGAGCCTAAGTGACAGGGTTCAGGTTCAGTGCTGAGCTTTCCCACATTTTGTGGGCGTTCACCTCCAGGGGTTTGGTTTCACCCTCTCGCAGAAATAAACTACATTCAACAGTAAAATCAGTGTTTAGAGTTTCAAGGCTCTCCCTCCCCCGCCCCAAACCCCTCTTTCCATCCTTCTCTGGACTTTCTCATTGTTATTACTGGCCGTGATAGTCTCTTCAGTAGAAATCTATTAAATATACTGTTCCACCGCACTTCATGGCACGGAAGTGTAAAATGTGGCGTATAGAGCTTATTGCTGTGTAGGGGTACACTTAAATACAAGTATTTGCTTAGAGAAATGAGGTTTAATATCAATGCCGAGGATCAAATTTTCCTTTTCAATAGAGCAACAAATATCACGTTACCTGAAAGGAAACCTGAGATGGCTGAAGTTCTTTCAAGCACAATGCCTGATCAAAACCTCCTTAAACTTTTAGTTGTGGACTGTTTAATCCTACTAGAATTACTACTCTTGGGCATTCAGTGTGGTTAGCCACAGTGGGTACATTTCTTTAGGAAGTTTGATCGGCCAAACTTTCACGCTATCTCATCATAGGGTTAGCGTAGTAAAATTCCCAGTCTTACTTCACACACTGACCCAACTTTGAGGAAGGTGGCAAAGGCATGCAGTAAGGCAGCGGCCCTGG